GATATATTATATTTGTCCCTGATATTAGAGATGACAATGGGGAAAAGCGGGTGTGGTGAGGGGCAGATTGAAGTAGTCTGTTAAAAAGCTGATGTAGTGCGGTGCGAGTAGCGGGAGTTTCAATTTAATTTAAATTTTCTTATTTGAATCACAAATTTTAATAGTTGAAAATTAAAATGTGTATAATTACAAACTATTTTTGTGTCCAAACTCCAAACTCCTAATATATAACATTTATTATTATTTCAAACTATCAACTTTAATATAACAATTTTGGAACACTTTAAAAGAATTTTAGCTTACTAAATAAATTAAAATTAAATAAAGAGAAAAGGGTATGCTATACCCTTCAACTTCGCGATTTAAAGTTGACATACCCCTTGTCACAAAAGTAGCTATCATATACCCTTACTGTAACACAAATGACCCAAATATACTCTTTTGATCTAATGAAAGTCAAAAAATAAAGAGAAATGAAAAGGGTATATTCTCTAAAAAATATACCCTCACTATAACACAAATGACCCCAAACCAATTTAGCCAACTCACTAATTCTTTTATTGTTTTTAATTTTATAGAATCCATTCATCCAGGCTTTCATCTTATGTGGTGATAAAAGGTTTGGCTCAGACCATATACTATTAACTAATCAACTTTAAATAGATATTCTTAATTATACTATCGTTATCAACTTGTTCTATACTAAAATTGAGTTTTAGCGGCAATTAATTAAGTGTCGTTAAATATATATATATATATATATATTTTTAGAGATAATTTAACGTCCCTAAAGCCCTATAGCGATATTGACTCCAACGACAATAACTAATGCTTGTAAAGACTTTAACGCTCTTTCGAATATGCTTATTATTACAGCTAGTGTTCTCCGTTGTTTAGCTGCATTAGATTCATATGATAATCTTAAATACATATGAAAAAAACATGAAATAACCAATGACGAACTTCAAAGTTCAAACTAACCAAAAAATATATGAATAATACTAACGAGAAATAATTGACAAAAGAATCTTTGAGAAATGAATACTGTAACATCCGACAATTCGAAATAGCTAAGAAGAGGCTTAGAATTTGAAATTTTTTCATTTTTTTGGAAAGGAGTTGAAAATCTGGAAAATTGGCTAAGTATGGAAATCAGTGATTTTTGGCCAACTTTGAGCAGTCATAACTTCTAGCTCAGGATGAGTTAGGAGTAGTTCCAGTTATGGTTGTGAAGCTTGTGGAATGATCTTTCCAACGCCGCTGAGTTTTCTCAATTCCGAGTTCGTATGAGCGAGTTATGGCATTTGAAAGTTGGGCAGTTGACAAGGAAATCCGTCCGGGAATCATTAAGGGCATTTTGGTCTTTTCCCTAGCTATTTCTTTTGAGGATGTATTGTTGTATAGGGCTGATCTTTGGATCATTTTGTTCCATTTTTAAGAGAGTGAAGGCTAGGGCTTGAGAAGAAGAAGAGAAGGAGAAGAGAAGAAAAGAAGAAGAGGAAAAATCGAGGAGATCAACAAGTTTCCGACAAGATCATCGTGGATTTTCGTCGGGGGTGATCCCTACCAAGGTATGTGAGCTTTTAGTGTTGGGTGATCCTTTCCCCCACACACCTAGCCCTTTTATTTATTGAGGAAGGATTGGATTCGTTGTTGAAGTTGTTGGAATTGTTGTTAAGGTTGTTAGTTGTTGAAGTTGATAGTTGTAATCTATGGTATGTGGAGGGATTTTTGTGTTTCCAAGTGTATGGGTTGAAATCTTGTTTTGGGAGGGTTTAGAGCTGGAGAAAAGGAGGATCCCAAAAATAGTCAGTTTCTCAGAAGCAATCGACGGACTAGAGGTACGGTCCGTAGATCGATCTACGGACCGTCGATCCCCTCAGTAACTCCACACTTGGAATTTTTAAAAATTCAGGTACTGGAACCCTCTCAGGATCACTCTACGGACCAACAGTACGGTCCGTAGATCAATCTACGGACCGTCGATGGACACCGTGGTTCCACACTTGGTCATATTTTTCCCTGAATTGTCCTCAAATACCTTGCCTGCTGATATACGGTCGTCACCTACGGACCGTGAATGGACCTACGGTCCGTAGATCACTTCCGTCAATGCCATGTTTCTGCA